GGCGGCCCCCCCGGCCGGGGCAGAGGCAGGCACAGCCTGAGGAGACATGGGAGAAACTCCCATGTCTGCCCCACCCGGCCCCAGCCTCCCGGCACTTTAAAAAAAAATTTTTAAAAAGCCCCTCACTCACTGGCTGCAGCAGCCTCTGAGGGCTCGTGGCAGAGCCCCTCCACGCAGGGCAGGGCAGTGGGGGACAGCAGAGACCAGCCCCCTGCTTGGCACCCGCACAGCAGCTGTTGCATCGAGCGGGTGCAGCATGGCTGGGCAAGGTGCCGTGCCCTGTCTGGGAGCTGGGGTGGCTCCACCTGTTAGCCAGCCCGGCACCACTCAGCCCCAGAGGCCCCAGCTCCCAGGCAGCGCAGGGCCCCCTGCCGAGCCACGCCCCACCCATGCCATGGGGCAGCTGCTGCACAGGTGCCTGGTGGAGGGGGGGACAATCCCCGCTGCCTCCCACTGCCCCAGTTCCCGGTTGGATCCTCCAGCTCCCAATCATTCCCCACTTCCCCTATGGCTTCTCCCAGGGCTACCAGCACTGCCTGCCTTTCCCTGGCAGGGGGAGCAGCTGGGGGAGTAGCCAGACAGCTACTCCAAGAGCCAGCAGTCCTGGGAAAACCTGCAGGGGCTAGGGAGAATGATCTGGCCCTGGGGAAATGAACAGAGGCTTCTGCCCAGCTCCTGGTTCAAGCACCAGCTTCCCCATTCATTCCCTGCAGCTTTTCCTGTGGCTGCCAGCACTGCCTGCCTTGGGGGAGCAGCCAGAAGAACTTCTCCCAGGGCTGCGGGCTCAAGCCGGTTGCTCCCCTAACTGCTCCTGCCATCATTGCCTGCCTGTATAGTCTATGGCTGAATAAGATTATGCGCCAAATATCTTCGGATTCTGCCAAATCAAATCGGGACAGCGATTAAAATCACTGAATCAAATCACTGTTCCACTGAAGCAAATACTTTCTGCTTCACACAGGCCTATTGGGCACGGGGCCTGGATGCCTGGGTTTGTGTGTGTGTGCACACACACACATGTGCATGCCTAGACTCCTGCGTTTTGTGTCACCTTGGGGGGATGATCCCAGGCCCCTATTAATCCCAGACAGGTTGTGAAGACCAAGGAAGATTTGAGAAGCCTGTCCCAGGAAAAAAAAATCTCCAACTCAAAAATTCAATCCCAAGCCATTTTAATAGCAATGCTAGTACTGGGTACAAATAGGAGCACCTGGGGAAGACCAGAGGGATCAGGCAGATGAAGTGGTGGATGAGAAAGAATCACTCTTACAAAACAAGGCAGAAATCAGGCCTAAAGTTACTGAGCCTTTAAAAGGTGGCAGCCTGTCAAGGCCAAGAAATTTGTCCCTCCGTTCCAGAAACAAGGTTTCCAAGCAGCCCCCTTCTCCGCTCACCACAGATGGGCAATAAAAGCAAAGGCCGGGGCTCCTTGCCAAAGAGGGTATTTCCAAGGCAAATCTGTGCCTTGTATCCCCCACTCAGAACCAACTAGGACAAGCTCAGTAAAGAGAGACATCTGATAAGGCTAGTAACTGTATAACTATGCATGGGCTCTTTCTGTGTTAAGATAAAACTGCTCCTTCTAATGGGGCAATTGGATAGACCTTTCCATGAGCCAGGCAATAGACCTGTTTCAGTGACAGTAGAAAGCTGTTTCTATTGCCAAACCAGATGCACCTGTACCAAGCCACAGCGTCCTCCTGGCTGAGCCAGTTGTGTCCTATATTCGAGGACCTCCTCCCCTAAGCAGTTCCATCACTGGTTGCCCCTTCTTCCTATCTTACCTCTAGCTAGAGAACAGCAAGCAAACAGGACCTGAGTCTAATACTCCACTACTAAGCAGCCTAAAGCCTACTAAAGTCTATACCCCCTGGTAAGTCTTGTGCATGCAGCTGACCGTCATTCTTGCTTTGTGATTGCTGTAGGAAAGAGATGCAGCCTATCTATCCATCCATCCATCCTGTCAGGGTGGGCAGGACACTAGGATATCCTCAGAGTCATCCTCAGCCACCGTGGCTGCGACGGGCAATGAGGCAATGCCACAGGCATTGCCCCCACGGTAGATGCGGAAAAAGCCCTGGGGGGGTGAATGGGATAAGCAGTTAGGGGCTGGGCACAGTTCTCATACACCCACATACTAGGATGACCAGCCCCTGATGTGCCTCACCTCAGAGCCAATTGCAATCTGCACTGAGCAAAGGGGCCCTATATAACCAGTCCCCCAAACACCCCACCCCAGAGCCAGCTGCCATCTACAGTGAGCAAGGGGGGCCTATATAACCAACCTCCAATAACCCACCCTAGAGCTAGGCACCATCTGCACTGAGCAAAGGGGACCCTATATAACCAGCCTCCGAAACACGCATCACTCCAGACCCAACTGCTGTACATCCATCCCCCAAACACCCCACCCCAGAGCCAGCCACTGTCTGCACTGAGCCAGTGGGGCCTGGTGTCCCCATTGACTTGCCTGTGCTCTCCAACTCACCTCCTCCCCCCACTCAGGCCCCCAAGAGTTCTTCACAATCCAGTATGGGGTCTTCTTCTCTGGAGTCAGCGTGGGAAATATCAGGGTACAGGTCAGCATTAAGGAAGGAATGGTTTAGGAGAATTCTGACCCCCACCCTCTGCCTCCATCTCTGTCAGCCACCCATCTGTCTCCATCACAACCCCCTGGGGTCCCCAGTCCCACCCTTCCTCCCTCCTGGGGCTTTACTGTCTTTCAGCCCCTTAGCCCTGTCTCAGCCACAGGGTGGGATATAAATCTAAATACTAAAAGAACATAAGAGCATCAGAGCTGCCACAGGTGGGTCAAACCATAGATCCTTCTTTCCAGTCCTGTATTGCACCCCAGCCATGCCACAGTAGTGGTGGAAGCTGAAAGTTTATAATATCGTAGAAGTCATAGAAATTAAGGCCTGGAAGAGACCTTGAAAGATCATTGAGTCCAACTCCCCTGCTCTCAGCCTTTTCTGGGCAGGAATACTGCTGAGATCAAATGATCCCAGCAAGGTGTCTGTTCAGTCTCCTCTTGAAGACTCCCAAGGTTGGGGACTGCACCACCTCCTTGGGAAGTCTATTCCTGATTCTGATCACCCTTACCATAAAGAAGTTCTTCCTTACATCCAACCTGAAACCATCTTCTAACAATTTATGGCCATTGCTCCTTGTCCTCCCCTGGGCTGTCCTAGTGAACACTTTTTCTCCCAGTTCCCAATATTCACCCCTTATGTAGTTATAGACAGCCACCAAATTCCACCTCAGTTTTCTCTTCCCCAGGCTGAACAGTCCTAGATCCCTCAGTCTTTTCTCATAAGGTTTGTCCTCCAGGCCCTTAATCATTCTTGTGACCCTTCTCTGGACCCTTTCAAGATTCTCCACATCTTTTTTGAAACATGGTGCACAGAACTGGACACAGTCCTCCAGCTGGTGTCTTCCCAGCACTGAGTAGAGAGGTAGTATCACTTCCCTAGCCCTGCTTGTGACACTTTGGCTAATGCATCCCAGTATGCTATTAGCTCTGTTGATTACTGCATCACAGTGGTAATTCATGCTCATCCTGTGATCAATCATTACCTCATGGTTCCTTTCAGCCATGGTGCACAGAACTGGACACAGTCCTCCAGCTGGTGTCTTCCCAGCACTGAGTAGAGAGGTAGTATCACTTCCCTAGCCCTGCTTGTGACACTTTGGCTAATGCATCCCAGTATGCTATTAGCTCTGTTGATTACTGCATCACAGTGGTAATTCATGCTCATCCTGTGATCAATCATTACCTCATGGTTCCTTTCAGCCATCATGCTGGACAGGGCATCTCCTCTTAACCTACATTCATGTTGCTGGTTACTTCTCCCCAGATGAAGCACTTTGCATTTATCCTTATTGAACTACATCTGGTTCCACTCCACCCACAGTTCCAGCTTGTCCAGGTCTGCTTGGATATGCATCCTATCCCCTAGCATGGCTGCTTTTCCCCATAATTTAGTATCATCCACAAACTTGACCAGTGTACTCTCCACAACCTCATCTAAATTGTTGAGTAAGATGTTGAACAACACAGGGCCAAGAACTGAACCCTGCGGGGCACCACTGGTCACCTCCTGCCAAGATGATACAGACCCGTCCACTAACACTCTCTGGGTTCAACCCCTCAGCCAGTTCCCAAACCAACTAACCACGGACTCTGCTGGCCACAATCCCCAAGTTTTTTATAAGAACCTCATGGGAGACTATATGAAAAGTCTTTTAAAATCTAAATATATGACATCAACCATGTCTCCTACATGTAGGTGATTCATTACTTGATCAGAGAAGGAGATGAAGTTGGTCAGACACAACCTGCCTGCAATGAAACCATGTTGGCTATCCTTCAGCACCATGCATTCTGCCAGTCTCTCACAAATGGACTTCTTGATAATTTTGTCCAAAATTTTACCCAGTATCAAGGTCAGTTTAGCCAGATTCACCAAAGGACTAGACACATGCTTGGGGGAAAGGGACATCAGTCACTATTGAGAACAGGAGACAGGGGCACAGCCTCTGAATCAGACATCTCTAGACCTTCAATGCTGGAGGCTGCAAGTGAGACAGGAACAGAGGAAATACACTGCTCAGACCCCATTCGCTCTCCCTTTCAGCACCCACTCTCTGCCACTGTGTGCCACATGAGATTGGGCAAGATGAACCTGTGATCTGACCCAGTCCATGACAGCTCTGATGTTCTTATAAGATGTGTCTGCCGTCACCATCATCCCACCTCCCTACCCCTGTCTCTCTGTCCCCAACTCACCCAGGCCGTAGCCCACCAGCAACACGGCATGGTTCATTTCACCTGGGTTACAATTGCAAGCCATATTCTTTGTGATGATGCCTTTTTTATAAAACTGGGAGGAAGCACAGGTCAGGGGGGGAAGCAGGCTTTGGTAAGGTTAGCCAGGGGCAGGGCAGGCTGGGGAGGACACAGGTCCACAGGGGCTCCTACCTGCATCAGCTTGGCATTGATGCCCACAGTGACAGGCCCCTGGACAGCAATGTGGGCAGCCAGCTCTGTTGGACAAGGCCACAAGTGCGTCAGCCAGGAGGTGGGGGGGGCGGCTGGGAGAGACCCCCAACACTCCCTACCCATCCCTGCAGCCTCTGGACTGCACGGTTCTCTGGAATCCCACCCCATGCACTGATGCACACATGTGGCTGAGATATGCACATGCCTGTGCGTAAACACAGCAGTGCACACACACAGTAGTGCACACAAATGAACACACCAGACACACAGGGATGCATACAGGGATGCATACATATGCACATGCAACAGTAACATTTATACACTCATATATATATATATATATATATATACACACACACACACACATACACACACACACTATGCACACAGGTGCACACACTGAACACACAGGGATAAACACAGATACATACATGCATGCACACAGGGATGCACACCCACACACACACCCCAGCAAGAACATAGACAGGGCCTGAGCAGTTTCTCTCCCCTCCTTCTAAAGACCCCTCCCCACCCCGACAGCCCATGCGCCCCATCCTCCAGCCCTGCTGGGGTCCCCACAGCTCCTCACTCTTTTCATCAGGTGAGAGGATCTGGAAGGTCTGGACATGGGCGACAGCTTGGTGATGTTCCTGACACACGTCCTGGCAGGCCATGTATGGGTACTGCTCCTCTGGGGTCAGACCTGTAGCAGAGGAAGGATAGTCAGCAGGGGAGGCCAGGGGGGGGGCGGGGGTGGTCTGTCCTGAGCATCATTTTATAAGGGCCTTGATCTCAGCCAGGGAGTCTTTGCATTTGGTGCTCTGTTCTCAACCTGAGGGGGTTGGGGGTGGAAGGGTCTGTGCAGTGCCTGGTCCTACAGGGATGCTTATCTCAGTCTGGGGGTCTGCACAGCACCTGGTGCTATACGGGTCTGATGTCAGCCTGGGGGTTCTGCACTGTGTCTGGTGCTATAGGGGCCCTGATCTCAGCCTGGGGAGTCTGTGCATTGC